GCTCATAAACGCGGATTTCCAGCGAATGGGAACTCAGCCATCGCCGCTGGTTCGTCAGATTCGCGATTTGCTCTCCTGATCTTCTCCAGAGGACAAGATCTCTTCAGCTCTGCCCCACGAGTGGGCGGGACTGGAACCAAGAGCTCAGTAGAAGCGAAGCAAATCTTACGAAGAGGAGTTGCTCCCACCTAGCCCCTTGCCCTAGCATGCTCATGCTCGTGAGGAGATTGAAGCGTCTTCGACGAATGGCGAGGAGGCCCTCCCGCGGAGCACTGCACTCATGTTGGCACCGCTTGAATTGCTGCACATGTTCCTCCATGACGAAGCTCTCAGGCTCAAAAGCTAATCAATTAGACTGTGGTTCAACTCCTCGACCATGTATGATCAGACGCCAACTCGACTGGCCATGATGCTGCTCCCGACGATAGCAGCGGTGCACTTTCTGCACCAGAAGTCCCAAGGTGTGGAGATACTCCCCTGGGCCGTGCTCACAGAGCTGCTAGAGAGAGTGAAGGGGCTTGGGCTCATCACTAAGGATGAGATCCTGAACCTTGCCGTGGAGATACTCCCGGAAGGTGGGATTCGAAAGGTGCTCACACACCTCCACTCCATATCGGGATCGATGAATGGGGACAAATCCGGCACAGAAGACGAAGAGCCCTGGTCGAACAGGGGATGCAGTACCTCTCTTTGGTTCGCATCCACGCTGGAGACCTGATTTCCCCAGCAAGCCTCGGTTACCACCGGTACGACTTGGAGATAATGGAACGAGAATCCCATATCACGGGATACATCGCCAAATATCTCCCTGCTGAATACCAAGAGGCCTATCAAGCTGATGTGCAGACGTTGAGGTCTCAGTTTTTTGCTGAAGACGGCAGACTTAACCTGGCCTCGGCGACGTGGGAGGTATCTTACAATCACCTCATGGCCGCCACTTCCTGAGCCAAGTGAGAAGAGGAGATGCTCCCTAAGCAAGAGCTCCTGTAACAAATAGAGGAGTTTCTCCCTCGTTAGGCGTAGAGCTGGCGGAGTTACTCCCCAGGGGTTTTTGAACTAAAGAGTCACAGGTGGAGCTTCTCCCCTAGTTGGTGGAGCTTCTCCCCCAACGAGGGGTGTACAGCTGGCGGAGTCTCTCCCTAGGGGTTTTTAAAAGCTTTGAGTCGCTGCCTGCAATAATTCTGCCTGCACTGAGCTACACTGAGCCAACAGCAATCCACCATCCGTGATGCAGGTCTCCTCGTGGTGGTCTGGAGCTCAGTGGCCTAGGCCCAGCTGCCTGCTTAGAAGCCAGCTTGAGCCAACAACCGCAGCTTTCTCTCAAGACTCAGCATCATGTCCAGACCTGAGTCAACACAGGATCCCTCGTTTCAAGCGGAGTACGAGGAATTCTGCCAGCGACGGATACGTGAACAACTTCCGCATGTCACGTATCGCAATTTCCTGCGCCAGTGGAGGCGCTCCGCTCGTGCTCACGGCGAAAGCTATCCTGCATATAAAGGAGTCTCTAAAGGTACTGGTGGACAGGAAGAGCTGGGAAGCGGAAAGGGTGGAGTCACTCCCCCTCCTCCTCCTTCCAAGAAAAGAAGTACAGGGCAAAGCGAGGGTGGAGATACTCCCCCAGCAGCAAAGGCCAAGAGTGGAGATCCTCCCTCGGGGGACCCCATCACGGAAGCTGCGATCAAAGTTCTTCAGTCAGCTGGTTATACCCCCTTTCCCAGTCTGATTTCAGACTGTGATGGGAACATCACTGACCTGAACAATCACCGAGTTATGGTGACAGTAACTCAGCAGCTGCGAGATGGCCTCAATCAGGTGGAACGACCCTCCCCGGAGGTAGCCAATGCTCTCCTGGAGACCTTCCTGGCCTCTCGCCGGGGACTTGCCAATGAGCCTCTGCATCCGAAGCTTGGATATCCCACAGCTGAGGAGAATGGGTGGTTTCGTTTTGAGTATTCTTCACCGAACATTCTTCCTGCAGGGGACAGTGAGGTTGCGTTCCACGGCACACACCTGGAATGTTTGCATGGGATACTGGCCACAGGCAGGCTACTACCTTCGACACCTGACCTCTCCGGCACGCGAAGCTTCGAGGCACGACCAGGCGTGTATCTTCACAGGATGTCAAACAGGCATCTTGCTGCCGGTTACAGTTGTCTGGTGAGGATAGGACCTCGGCACATATTCGTGCGGCCCATGTTTGAGGTGGAGGCTGCGCACTCTGGATCGCAAAAACGTGGTAAGAAAACAAACCAACTGATATACTCCTATGATGCAGTCAAAATCCGAGCGCTGCTACTGCAAATATCAACCAAGGAGACACTCACCTTAGGTGAGTACCTCCGAGAGTGGAGTGGCTTGTTGGAGATACCACTGAGACAAGCACGGGAATCCTTTTTGGCGTTGGGATACGAACTGCCTGGCGAAGCCTCGTCAAGTGGAGTCAAGGAAGGAGGAGTTGCTCCCCTTCCGGTTTGTGAGCAGGCGTCCAGCTCACAGGGTGGAGTTTCTCCCCCGACCATGGCGTCAGAGATTGACCACAGCTCAACAACGCCACGTAGCTCCACTATAGTGGCCTGGGAGGGCCAACCAGGCGATCTAGGGGACTATTGCACTGCCTCTACGAAGCCGGAGACCAGCTTCTCGTTCGAAGTCTCGAAGGCTCTAGCAGCTTCGCTCCGGCACGGACATAAACCCTACATCAGCGTCACTTCAGCTGGTTGGGCCAAATTAGAGGACGTCCTGAGATGGCCAAGAGTGCAGGCCCAGCACGCCACGGCAGGCGACCTCATGGAGGTCGTTCGGAGTAACGCAAAAGGCAGGTACGAGCTGGGCGATTGCCAAGGCCAGAAGTACATCAGGGCTCTGCAAGGACATTCTCGCTCTGATGTGGACTCCAATGAGGTGTTGGAGGAACTCACGGAGGAGATGCTCCCCAGAATGCTGTATCATGGCACATTCTGGTCCTTGTATGACTCCATACGCCAACGAGGCCTTCTGCCTCAGAACAAGATTTCCAAGGGCCGCGGCAAAGGCGGACGTGGCAGAGAGGGACGACAGCATGTTCACTTCGTCTCGGATCGGGACTATGGGAGACCTGGTGTTTCTGGATTCAGAGATAGCTCGTCGATGCTGGTGGCGGTCGATCCACGCAGAGCCATGCAGGTAGGGGTGCAATTTTTCCGTAGCAAGAACGGCGTCATTCTCACCCCTTCTGAAGTGCCCCCTTCTGTCATAGAGTACTACCAGAGCCTGAAATCAGGTACTAAGTACGGAGGCGACAACAGGCCGCTCTGATCGTGAGGACCCTCACCTAACGGTGGAGTCCCTCCCCACACTGATAATGCAGCTGCTCACGCAAAAATCTGTGTTATGAGGCTGAAGGTCACTTCAATTTCATCACCAGACAGCAAGTATACCCCGAGGTCGCATGTGAAGCTCCGTGCGAAGTCGTGGGCCCGGATCTGCAAGTGAGTTGTCAGCCAAAAGTTTTCTGGAAGCTCTACTTGCCTTCTCGTACAGGCTCAACTCACCAGCTGTCTCGACTGTAGAAGCCATGCCTGAAACACCGAAGAAGAGTGGCAACAGAGCGACCTCCCGAACCCCTCCTCCAGTGCGACGTCGGCCCCACCAATCCAGGTCGCCGCCAGCCAGTGACTCCATTTGGGAGTCCGACTCCGAAGACACAGCAGCCCCTAAAGCAGCCCCCAAAGCAGCTGGGCCTAAGGGCCCGCCGCCTCCGATGCCTGTTAACCTGTCAGGAAGTGGATCTAGCACAGATCGGACACCGGGACCAGGTAAGGCACCTGGAGTGCCAGTGAAAGGTGGAGTCCCGGGAGGAGCTTCTCCCCTGGGACCACCGCCAAAGGCTGTGACCTCAACGATCTCCCATCCAGGGACAGGAGAGCTTCATGTCACCAGCACAAGTCCGGCAGGAGTTGCTCCGCCATCTACAAATAGCAACAACGGGCTGGAAATGGCGCCTGGCCTGCCTTTACTGAGTGTTTCATTGCCTCACCGCCTCTACTATAACATAGAGCTAGTGGTTCGTACCGAGCCTTCACAGCGAGGCTAGACACTCTCGCGAGACAGCAGTGTGCAAAATGGACGTCGCCAATCAGTCAGCGATACATTGCAAATCAGCCGGTTAACTACTTCATTAGTGCCAGAGTCTGCAGCTCGAGTCACTGAAGACACGTCCGATTCCGACTTCATTGCTTGCAGCCTTGAGGGGCGGAGCGTGTGCGAGTGCTGTGTTAAGGCACGGCTCGTCATGAAGTGACCGCGCAAGTAGCAAGCAGAGCAGCAGGTCGATCCCTCGCAAAGCGTGGACGTTAAGTTTCACCTCAGACAGTATCCTCCCGCTGCGTGTGAATGAAATTTTGTTTTCACGGTTGTGGTTGGTGATTGACGATTGGGGGCTGGGGGTTGTCGGTTGGTAGTTAGTGGTTGTCGATGCTGTTGTCATGTTGCTGTTGCCGTCGTAATTAGTATCGTCATTGATCTTGTTGTTGCCTTTGTTGCTGTTGTTGTTGTTGCTGCTGCTGCGTCTGCTGTCGTTTGGTATTCGCTATTTATTTTGCTGTGTCGTTGATGGCGCTGTCGTCGTGGTTGTTGTTGCTGTTGTTGCTTCTGCTGCCGCTTTTGTGGTCGTCGTGATCGTTGTTGTCATCCCTCTCGTTGTGGACAGAGGAAAACCAATCATGTGTCGCCACAGGCAGGCTACAGGGGCTGTTTGTTACGCAAATTACGTGAATGAACCGGCAGCGCGAAGTAGAATGCCAGCTGAGCGCATGACGAAATAATGATTCTCAGAGGATGTGTGTGTGTGTGTGTCTGTAGCGCAGCGTGGGAGACATGTCCATCGCCTGGTGTCCATGCTGCTGCGGCTATTTCGCCTTCTATATTGCAGATGTAATTACAACTGCTATGATGAGCAACCATTATTGCTCATGAGTGCAACAGCCCCTAACACACAAACCCTAACCTCCCCGATCTGCCTCACGTGGGTTGTTCGTCTCCAGGACAAAAGCCAATCGTCCGAGGGCCTGGGTCTCCGGGACTAGACACCGTTCGCAGTGTTAAGTTGCTATACTTAAATCTTAACGTTTTTTTATGTTCTATATGTTATGCATGACATACAAGGGGACTGTGTGCACACTGTCTGTCTGCCGTGAAAATGTACTGTATAAGAAATTCTTTATGTATACATATACGTAGATTATATACTGCAGTATATACTACACAGAATATACTATGTCATACAGTAGACATTAAATATCACATACCAACACTGATGATATGTATTGCATGTGCGGCACATGATGTTCGGCAGAAATGCTTTAATCAAGTGTATACTTGGTATTCCCTACTTTCAGACTCCATTCGGCTTACTGTTTGTTCTACATTAAATATGCAAAAAAAAGCTGGCGGTATGGGTTAGATATTGCTACATCTACCTAACTGTCGAACTACCTATATCAGGACCTAATATGTCAAACTAAACAAAGACTTACCTCAACTTCAAAAAGGACCTAACGATACATATGTATATATATATATATATATATATACGCACATAGGTATGTACATACATACCTGCCTGCACACAGACGTCTATACATATACATGTACATATATATATATATATATATATACTTTTTTTACCGACTGCATTTTATGTAACACATGTAGAGCGTTTTTGTACTCAGAATAACGAACAACAGCGATCGGGACAAACGAACGCACCAGTACATGTGACGTCTTACTATATCAGGGGTATATCTAAAAGAATTAAACCTTCAGCGATATGCATTAAAGTGTATACCATGTACATGGTATACGAGCATACACTCTTTATTAAATCTTTGAACACATGCTTTGTATCACATGTTGCGTTGTATGGTATATACAATCGATAGTAGTGCTTTGCACGAGAACCGCATGTTTTGTGTGCTCTTTGAAGCAGGGCATGCAGGAAAGGGAAACGCCTGTGCGAGGCAGGGTGCATGCCGAAACTATGCAAAAATGCCTCTCTACGTGTGTGTATGTATATACATACGTATGCATACATGTATATGTGGCCATATGTAGGTACGCACGTATGTGTGTATGTATACTGTATGTCCGCATGCAAGAATGTATGGCTGGGTGGCTGGCTGCTGGATGGATGCATGACATGCTTCTGAGTACTCTTCGCATCAAACCAATCTTAGCTTCTATACTTCGGTAAGTAGAGCCCGCGGAACCGACACCGAAAACACGCACTCGTCCCAAGCCTCCCTGAAACAAAGGCTGGAATCCAGGGGCCCTTTTGGAGCAGGCTCTCGCCCGGAATAGCCGTAACCCTAAACCCGATCAGTTCATATATACATATATATATGTAGGGCACTTAATAACTATAATAGGGTTTTGGCGCCCATGATACTCTAAGTATAATAAAGAACCCCAAAATAGTATAGGTAATAATTCAGGCCCCGGTAGTACGCCCGAAACCCTAATGAATCCAGGAGGCTGTCAGTGTGTCGGGGTGGCTGGGTCCAAGTTTCTGCTCGCGGCGCGCGACCACTTCGCGCAAGTGCGCTTCGGCCTTCGGCTGACAATATAGTATAATAGTTATGCCATAACAGGCTACGGTATAATATAATACTACGTACAACATATACTATAATATGCTACGAAATACTTGTACGAATATACTTAAAATTTGGTATCAACGAGGAGAGGCTGACTTCTTTCTGCGTCATGGAATGGCTTCTTCTGCTGAATACGGCAATTCTGCATGCAAGGTCATCCCTCAAAGTGTACGTACTTACTAGTACCATTTGTCTGCAGCTGCCTGGCGGAAGCGCGTCTCGTCTCCCTGCTGCGCCAAAATGTGCGCCAGCTGACATCGAGCCTGGAGACGGCGAGCTTCTTTCATGCGGGGCTGAAGTCGACACCCATTCCCTTTGTTGCTGTGAGCCTCGGCCTAGATTACAATTGTTTCGGAAGTCTGGAAGCTGCTGATTGATACAACCGTTCTCGGCAGCGTGACACCCGAAGCGAAGATTTTGCGCTTCTCGTTTGCCCGAGTCCGGTCCTTCAGAGTGTGAGGATCGTCGCGGCCAAAGGAGATGTGGCATTGGTCCACCAGGTTCTTAAGCATCTGCTCAGAATCGGCCAGACGTCCCTGTCGGCGGATGACCTTGGTGTAATCAGGGCCTGAATACGGCAATCAGTGGCTCTTCTCGGGTTTCTACAATGATGATGGGTTGGGTGCAGGGGCCTTTTTTAGAACAGGGTTTTGGTGCATATTGTCGTATGAGTATGTAGGGATGTGCTATTCAAGCCCCTATAGCAGGCTTCAGAGCTTTTTAGGGTTGCAGGGTTCAGGCCCACTCAGGCTGAAGAAGGGTTCCGTATTGTTACCACGATGCATCTTCTCAACGTGAGTAGTATATTCTATAACTGCTTCTTTATTGTACTGATATTACTACGACTACTATCCTAATGCTGACTATGATTAAAAGTATTCGGTTCACATGAACAGATTGTGCACCGAAAGGTCATGTTGCAGGAAACGCTCAAACAAATGGCAGCCAGATGTGGAACATCCTCAGCCTGATCCAGAAAGCCTTTCAATGTTTTGAGACTGCCAACGAAGCATATCATCATTATTTTTTCTTATGAACAATCTCCCTCTTCAGTGCCGCGATGCGTCACCCCAACACTCTTCTCAAGAGTCTATCTCCCTCTAAGGCACCCCCACGCCCCGGCGAGGGTGGGGCCGGGTGCACACTATTCAGGACGGGACGCAAGAAATGATTTCGGGCCGGGCCCTCAACAAAAAACCCAGCGCCACACTCCTAATCACAAAAACAACAAGACGAAGAACCATACTTATCACCAAGGAATACTTCGTAAGAAACAAGCGGCATCTGCGAGGTTTGCCTTGGCTCGCAGCGTATTGGAGTGCTGGGGCCCCAGGGTGCGCTCGCGCACCTCGAGCACCTGAATCAGGGTTTATAGGCTTAGAAAGGGCTTGTAGGGTTTAGAGTTTGTTAGGTTTGTACGGTGAAAAAATAACTTGTATGGCCCGGTATTGAACATTTTTGGTTTCAGGAAATGGCAAATTTGAACCCGGAGCCCCAAAAGAACCCAAGTAAAACAAGCAGAAGCAACATGAGGATACATGGCGGTATATTACTAGATATTGTAGTTGAGCTGTAGTACTGTAGTACTTGCCACCATTTATCGATAGATCTGAGTCTATCTGTCAATCCATCTAACGGTCTATCTAGCTACACACGCAAACCTTGTAGCCTAGTCACCTGCTTGTACATGGTCTCGCTTTCCTCGAGGTTGCCCATCTTGGCCCGCAGCGCTGCGAGGTTGAACTTGGAAGATGTGACATCCCCGTGCTCGGCCCCAAATTTCGTCTCGAACTGCTTGCAGACCTCGATGTGCATCTTCCTGAGCTGCTGAGTAGCTGAGTAGCCCTTGAACACAAGGGTGTGATTGACGACGAGCTTGGGGGGGCTTTGACATGCAAGCGGGTGACAAAAAGAGAACAACGACTGAGCAGCCAAGTGACTCGGCCTCCTGGAATTGCTGACACTCCTCTAGGAGCACGGCGAAGTTGTTCTTTGCCTGCAGCGTGCACTGGTGGTCCTCGCCCACGTCTTTATTGAATTGCTCGATACACTGGCGGTACATCTCCATGGCGGCAGTGGTGAAGCCCTTCTCGTGCAGCTTGACTGCCGCCTTGTGCGCTTCTGCCAGCCATTCGTTCTGCCCCGACGTGAGTAGGGCCTTACCTGCTGCCTGCTGCGCAGGAAGGCAAATCCACTGACTGTCGCAACTAGCACGCTCCCAGAAGCGGGCCACAATGTTGTGAACATGCACCGCCAAGGACGTGTCATTGCGATGCGCGCACCACACCTGCAGGAGCTGTTGTATGGCGCCCTGCTCTGTGAGAACATCCAAGCCTTTTTCTTGGCAGGCGATGCGCTCGGCGGCCTTAGCTGCTGAGCGGCAGACCTCGCGATCCCCTGAGCGTTGCTCCAACATGAGGGTCACTTCAGGTGCCTTGGTCCAGTCACCTGCACCCACGGACTCAAGCATGGTAAGGGCGGTGATTCGACTTTGGTCTGTCTTCTCCTTCTTCACCTCCTTGGGCTTCGGTGTTTCCTCTTTAGGCTTTGGCGCCCTTTGCTTGGGCTCCTCATGGTGGATCTCGCAGCAGTCTCCCATGTCTACCAAAGTTGACTTGTACCTGAGACGAACTGCTTGCGCCTTGAGCCGAGCAGTGAGAGGCGTACTGGCGTGACCTACCAGGCAGTTGCTGTCAGTCTGAGCACCCTCTGCTTAAGCATGGCATGAAAAGGATGACATGCTGACAGGGCTACTGCCGTGTGCTACATCCTCCACCACCATGGGTGGCATAAGAGTGCTCGCGATAGCATCGATGCGCTGTCGCCTCGGCGGACATAGACAATAATGGAAAGCGGGAACATAGGTTGGTTTGTGTCGGCAGCTCTTTTGCTTGCACTGCCCCATTTCCTCTGAAAAACCTTACACTGTCTCAGTTGCGACAAGCTGAACATTTAGGTCTGGCAGCCACGCAAAGAATGAGAGCCTCGGTCCACCACCTTTGCAGTCCCCCCCCCCTCGCACGAACGCCGAAACAGAAACAGGTGGTGTGAGGGCTCAGTTCCACCTCCTCTGCCTTGAATGATTGGTCCCGAGGGGTGGGGATGCCAACTTTGGATCCATCCGGAATGGTGGCCTCAAGCCAGCCGTTGTGCCAAGGCAGGCAAAAGACAACAAAGAGGCCCAGGCTTACTTTGCCAACTTTTCTGTCACATGCTGTGCGGCGTAGTGACGCATCCCAAAATCGGAAAAAGAATGCATGGAAAACCCTCGCACTCAGGGTTGTCTTGTTCAAAAAGCCCCCAATGTGGAGCAAACACCCTACAATATACCAGCTGTATGTAGCTTTCTGAAAAAGACAACCCGATGTTCAGTTCCAATTCTCGAAAGAGATGGATTGATGCCGCGAACAGGACTTGTTAGTTCCCCTGTTCTGCTGGCATTCCTTTACACAAGAGGTCACATTCCCCGGGGCATTCGGGTGCTGCTTTTAGATGTCTTGGTGACCGTGTACAGTGGTAACGGATAATCTAAACTACATCGTATGAGGCAATGGACAGCATCTCAAGGTAGGTGGAAAGTATGTTGAATACTAGCATTGTGTGCCTGCTGCTTCAACTCCTGAACGCCCTGGGCAACGTGTTGCTTGACATATCCTGGGTAGTTGCACCAAGCCAGTGATCCACCAATTCCCTGGACCATGTCAAAAAGTCCCGTGACCGTCGCGGCAATGCGGGATGAACATGCCATAGGAACCAAAGTGGTTTTCCCACAGCCACTGGCAGCAGCAGACAAATATGTTGCCACCTGCCCCAGATCAGCGAGCAACGAACCAATGTGCTCCGTGCAAATATAGCGCTCGTAGGTTGTCGGAAACTTTGGGCAATGGCCTGGCTCTGTTGCGAGAGCATTGAGCTCGTAGGCAGTCTTGACGATGTAGTCAATGGCCTGCCCGATGTTGTTCAGGCAAGCTGCAAGGACTTGTGGTGCCCGATCGGGATCGATCTCCTTGGAGTAGGGAATGTCACCGTTCGTGGGGTCTGCGCACTGCACAGCTATATCGCTGAGGGCGGAGGCGGACTTCGTTGCGCCAGATGTCAGCACGCTGATGCTCATGCTGCATCTCGCTGGATAGTTGGAGCCTCTAGGAATGTCGTTC